GCGGCGGAAATGTGCGACAATTTATTGGTTAGCGGATGCAATATTTATAAGTAAAGTTTACCTTCTCTAATAATAAATTCATGAGTTGAATTTAAATGTATATGGCCATCTATAGAACTAATTTACAATTTTGTATGGAACAATATTTTGTCATTTTAAAGTTTAAGTTAAATTTTAGCTATATTAAACTTAACTATTACAATAATTTTCACATTAATTAAATTTTTTTAATATTAATTTATGCAGTTTAATATGCATTGTAATTATTTTTATGATTTTATATTAAATTTATTAAATATTTATTTTTACTGTTGTTTTTTTTTGTACCTGTGGACATGTGCTTTTAGTAATCCTTTATATATTATGTTTTAAGTGATTTTAATAACTTGAAGTTCCCAAAATTCGCCTGATTTCCCCTGACTATCATTTGCCGCTTAAACTCATTGTGTGCAATGCATCTTTGGGCTTAGCAAACCTTTTCACACCTCTCAAAATGTAATCCCAGTCAGAGCTCAGTTTATGCATTCCTCCAACAGCGGAAAATCTTGTCATTTGGGTGCACAGATTTCCTTGACTTATGGCAGTTGGCCATTTGCAGCCACCACGAGCACATGGCTAAGATGTCAAGCCACCGCCCACTGAAAAGCGTTAGCAATTTCCAACAGGGCTTCTCAGCCATTGACTCACACACACAATTGCAAGTGGTGGGTGGAAAATGGAGACAGGGACAGAGAGAGGAACAGAGACAGGGAGAGTGGAAAACGACAGAGAGGGGGCGCGTCAATGTCCCTCGTGTAACTTTTTTCATTTCGCTGGGTTCTTAATTAAATTATGAATTATGCACAGTTAGTTAAATAGACGAACGCTCGTCCGTTGGGTTTTCATTCTTTTATTTTTTTTTCTCCTGCTTCTTTAAGATTTAGCAGAGCTTACATTGAAGACGGATTTAAGGCGAGGAGAAATGTATAAACGTGAACAGAGCTTTCTTACATTTTCGCTTTATGTTTGTTTTGCCTCGTAAATGACATTACTAACCCAAATACTTTGTTATTGGCGGTGTCTGTGTGAGGGGCATAAATAAGTCGCTTATTTATTGCACGTACGGAGGAAAAATGCCACCATACACACGACCTTAAATGGGCACAAAGTGAAAGTGTTTGCCCTTTTCCCTCGCCTTCACTCATATCGAGTTTCCCTTAACTCCGAGTATCCCAGTATCCCAGTATCATCCACATTTTTATTCACAGTCTGGTATTTGTTATTTCGGTTTTGGCGCATAAAATGTTCGTAATAAAATTCCATGAATCTGTCGTTATTTATGACCGCAACGTGTACAAATATTTATGGCATTAAAGTGCATATAAAGATTGGAGTTCGAGTAGGTCTTAAGCTTTTTCCTGACCTCAATTCAAGTTGACAATAGGGCGCAGTCAAGGAAGTGGAAACTTTCAATTAACAGAGGAAATAATTATGATTAAATGATGGGCCTTTGTTAAACAATAAATAAGTAACTCCTTGGCTGCCGCCCACGAAAGTTAACTAAATATTTACTCTGGAGTTACCCAGGCACTTCACTTCCCCTTAAGCAAACAATTCCCAAACTAAATTTGAAGCCTAGGGGGTTTTACCCACTGAAAACGAGAAGAAATTTGTAATTTAAATTTTGCGTGATTTAAACACCAGATGCGACGTGGAAGGTGAACAACGATGCAACCGTAAGGAAATTTGAAAGTGCTCAACATTGGCATGCTCATGGTGCACTGAGAAAATTTTTTTTGAAATTTTTAAGGCTGAAAAAATAATTAATTACAACAATAAATCATAAAATAAAAAAAAAATAAAAATTTCGTAGCTTCATTTATTTATTATAAGACTTTGTTATATTTTTGCTCTGTGCAAGAGCATCATGGGTATCTGAAAGTGTGTGTCTCCCGGTGTTTTTCGGTTGTGCCAACAACTTCAAAATAAGTATGTTTTATGCTGTGCCGCAATAGCAACAACAACCAGTATCAGCAGCCAGCGACAACAAGCAGCAACAACAACAACCAACAACAGCAACATTTCGTTGTTCACTGCGGAAGCGGAAACTTCAAAGCGCAAACACTTGGCTTTATGAAGCTGTCGAGGGGCTGAAGGGGAAAATCCTGCCGAAGTGGCAGGAAACCAGGAGGAAAATCGGGGGGGAACGGAAAATGGAGGTGAGGTAACAACAGCATGCGGCACACGTGTAGCTCACCATCTGTCAGAGGCGCATCGTTAAAAGGGGTGCCATTTCTCATCTTAAACTAAAAGGTTTCTTAAGTAAAAAATAAAAAGCAAGCAAGTATATTTTAGAGGTATTTTTATGACAATAATAATATAAACTATTTTTGTATAAACATTTCAAATATAAATTATTTTCAGCAAATGTTATGTTAAGAAATAAGAAAAAGTTTGAGAATGATGAGATAAACTAAATTTATATAGTAATAAATAAAATTGATTTAACTAAAATATTTTGTACAAAGAATAATATTATTTTTTTAAAGTTGAAGGCAAAATATGTGGCTTATGTATTTTAGGTAAGAAGCAAGTGTGTTTAATTTATTCTCATTACACATTTGTGTTAAGCTTGAAAAACAACATTTTTTCAGACCATAGAGTTATTCAAAACTTTGGTTTTCTGAATTAACAAAGTAATGCAGTATTTGCTGAGCTGTCATAATTAGTTCGAATACGAACCCCCTTCCTGAAAGATTTTCCTGCACGCACCTGTGTTTTGCCCCACAAAACTCACATCGCGTGTGTGGTTCTCGTGTCTTCTGAATTAATTCACGCATTGCAGGGAATTTTGAGTTTCTCTTTCGGGGAAAAGGAAGCGACTTCCTAAGTTGTCAACTCGGCTTATTTCATTTTGACGGCCCTTCAGGATTTTCAACTTTGTCGTTATTGTCGCCGTTTTGTTATTAATTCACTGAACACTTGTTGTAGCTACTGCTTCTGCTGCTGTTCTTCTTATTGTTCCCAATGTAATTTATATCCTGCGTCACCAGCTGCGGACCGAACCAAAAACAAAAGAAATCCGGAAAAAAAGCGTAAAAGGCCAAGAAAAGGGGAAAAGCACAGAACAATAAAATTTTGAGCAATTTTTCCTGTCAGTTACTGCCGTTAAATTTACTTACTGGAAGGTCCTGGCAGCTCTTTTCCATCTCACACTTAATTATTAACTCGTTTCTTGAACACCCTTACAAACTGATTGTTTAAATTCAATTGAGTTGCGGAGTTAATTATTGAAAGGAATAATTAAAAATACGTTTGTTATTTTTCTTAATTAAAACTGGTTCAGGGGAAATGTAATTTTCATTTAAATATGATAAACAATTTTAAATTGATCATTAATTTAGTGTTCATCATTAATAAATTGTAATTTATTTTGCTTAAATGAGCTTGACCAAAAAGAAGAAAGAGTTTATCCAGATTTTTTTTCGCTCTTGTCCATTTTTAAAATGCCTTTTGCAACGTAAACACCTTGTGCCTCACTTTTGTATCCTTCACTTTTTTTATATCCTTTTTTGTTGTACATGCAGAAAAAAATGCGTAAGCTTAACTTGATTTCAGAAATTTTTTTTCCAATTTTTTTTGGGTTTTTCTTTCTATGTTTTCTTTAGCCAAACAATTCCTTTTGAAGGTCCTGGCCAAGTGCTTTGCCAAAAAACAAGTCAAGAAGAGGATGCAAGTTGTAATTTCATTTCTCGCAACTCTTTGAGATTCGCTTGGACTGTTTTTTTTCATGTGTGTTTGGGGGCGTGTTTAATTCAAGTTGGTAAACAACATAGAGATAAAGTTTATCTGGATTTCCCCGAAATTGTTGCTGCTATGGCCCATTTTTTCCATCTACCTCTGGTTACATTCTTTTCGAGTCTCCCAAGGCCCGTTGTCGTTTCCTTTATTGCATTTGTTATCCAGCTTGTTAGCCAAGTTTTCTGGCGAGGCTTTAAGCGAAATTCCGCAATTTCTTTTAACCATTTTGCTTGTCTTGACCTGCTTTTCTTCTTTATTCATGACCCAAAGAAAAACATAATTTAACTATTTGCTTGCCAGTAAATCAAATTTATTTGGAATATGACTTACAAAATATTAAACATTTTCATTTCTTTATAATTTATATTTTTTTGTCTCCTTTTTATTGTTAGCAAATTGCCATGCAAATTTTTTTAAATATTAATTTAAATATTTCTGTACAATTTATTTTAAGTAAATAATTTATCAACAAAACTTTTAAATCACTTTGTGAATTAGTTTTGTAAGCTTCTAACTTAGAGAAGGCTGAAACTTGTCAAGAAAACAAAGTTTTACAAAGGTTATTCTGTAAGTTTCTAAATAGCCTTGAATATTTGACCAAGAAACTGTGTGTCTGAATATTAAAAACATAGTTCTATATAAAGTTTCCAAGAGTACAAGAAAATTTAAAACTTTAAATAGGAAAAACGAATTTTTCGGAATCAAGATAAGTTTCTCAAAACCTCAAGCAGTTTTATAATAATAATAGTAATTATATTTTATATTCCGCCTTAATTTACCCTTTTTTAAGCCTTTGGCGACCCATTTCATAAAATTATCCACTTAATCTGTCACAAAAACTTTTCATGATTAGTTTCTCTCGCAGTTTTTTGGCAAGTTTGCCAAGTTAACATTTTAATTTCGTGCAAGTGCCACGCCCACTAATTGGGTTAAGAGCTGTGTGAGCGGGCCAAAAGGAAAAGTTGAAATAAATTATATCCTTTCGGCAATTTCAGCTTGTTTGCGGAATGTCAACTTTTCCTGCTGGTGGCGTATCTCCTTCGATCTTGAGATGCGGCATTCAGCCGCAAAAGAAAAGAGGTTGCCAAAACATTTAAGAGGCTTAAGTTTTGCCTTTTTTCGGGGGTGGGGGCGGGGTAGGCCATCAAAAATGAATTTTGTTACTTTATCAGTTAGCCAAATTTTCGGGTTTCGCTGTCAAAATGTTGATTGCCACATACCAAATCAGTTAATGGTCATTATCCTTGTGTTATCCCAAGTGTGAAGAGGGGGGCTCCTTTTTTTCTGTTTTTTTTTTTTTTGTTTTCTTTGGTTATTTTGTTGTTGTTGTTTTTGGTCACGTCATCGATTAGCAATGTGTTGCCATGGCATCTTCCACTTTACAGCAGCACAACACACAAACACACTGGGAACGGGGGCGGAAAAACCACACAAACTAACACGACAACAAACCCCCCTGAAAATCCGTAAAAGTCCTGACCGCAAGTTGTAAACAAGCAAAATCCGTTCGTTATTTGGGTTTTTCGACCTTTCTTTTTTTTGTGTTTTGTGTTTTGGTTTTGGGTTGTTGCCAAGGATAATGCGACGATATATCCTGCGTTTTTAGACGAAAGCTCACACAGTTTTCCCCGTTTTTCACACCGTTGCACTTGTGTCGATGGTTTTTGATGATGGGTTTCTATGTGGGTTGTTAGGGAACTTTTCCTTTGAGGGATTGCGACTGAAACACGACCGTCTGCTCGCACGGCTCGCCGTCAACTGGTTCGCCTCGAGCTTCCTTAGAGCCATCGTTCCCGAAAGGCCGAGTCCGCATTGCGAGCCGGGAAATTTTATTCGTGAATTATGCATTTTCCACCTTGCGGTGCTAGAATTTCCCTTGCTCTCTTCTTGTTCTCTCTTAACTGTTTTTGGGCTATTTGTTGGCGGTGAATTTTCCGATTTTTCCTTTGGTCAGGTGGTGAGTTCGCATTTTGCCGGTTTGTTTACGTTTTTGTGTGTTGGCCCGCTTTCTTTCAAGCCGGCTTTCCTCCTTGGCCAACATATGACTGGTTTTTTTGGGGTGGCTTTTATACGTATTTAATTGATTGGGTAGCTATATTTTGGTTATAGGGTGCGGCAATTACGGTTTTGGTAACTATTTTCTAGACACGCTAACAGGGGCTGGCAATCATTTTCTTCTTTGGGGTAGTGATTTTTAATGCACACTTGTTTTTGGTTAAGAGGAACAAATATTTTGTAATCCACATAAATATTTTTACCTTTGTTTTTCATCTAAATATTGCGGTCTTTATTACGCAGTTTAATATGCATTGTATTAAATATTAGATAATATTGAATTTAATAGTCAGATATTAATCATATTCAATATTTTGTGTTAGTACACTATCAATTAATTTCATAATTTATTTAAAATGAAATTTTGTGTTAATTAATATATGTTGAAATCTATAGATACTAAAACTAACAAATAATTATATTAGAACAAGCAACGTAATTTACCTATTATATATGTAAAGGCTGTTGCAAACTTAAATGCGTTAATTAGATAAATATTTTGAAATATATAGTAGTCCATATATATTTTAGTTAGAAGTAGGAAGCCCGACATCGAAAAGCTTTTAAATACCCCTTAACCAAGAGCAGCCAATAATGATGACAAATGTCACAAAGGCTGCACAGTTTTTGTTTTAACTCCCTGGTTTCCCCCTTCTTGCATGATCCTTTACCTTCCACTGACCACAGAAACTCTTTACCGAATGAATGTGCCGGGCAAACCGCTTTTGGTCGCAACTTCGTCTGGTTTCAGCTTATTTACAAGAATTTTTCGTTACTTTTCGTTTCAGGCCTGGCCAAAAACCGCAAGCACCAAAGACAGGACGCCACAGGAGGACGAGTAGGGTGGCGGAATAGACAAAGTGTATCAATTATAATACGGGCACAAGGCGAAGCATCCCGAGCCGTTGGCAAAAGAAGGAGGGGAAGCCCTGGAGCCGGGATCCAGGAGCCAGAAAACAGGGTCCAGGAAAAGGAGATAACACTTAATGAAAAAGTGTCCTTGAAATTTTGGTTTCAATTCGGTATTTCTTGTGTTTGCTTTTATTTTTTTTGAATTAGATAAGTTATTCTTAGACTTTTAAAAAAACTATATAAAGGTATTTAACAAATTTTCAAGCAATTTAAAAAGTATAATGAAAATGTAGGTACTTGAAATTTATGTTTTAGGTAAAGAACATGATGTTTTTATAATAAGACAAAACATTAAAATAACATTAAATTCAGATATTCAATGGACAGTTTTAAACTTCATTAACTTTTTAAGCTTGATTTCAGAGCTGATGTGATAATTGCATTAAAACCTAAATATTTTTTAGAGATTTCTTTTAAAAAAGAAAATTTTAATGTGAAAGTAATATTTCCATAATTTTTTGTTTCACTGTACAGGCAACCACACAGCACCCAGAGCCATGTTGGCAACGACAACTACAGCCACAATTACCTCGGATCCGGGCATTCTCTGTTTTCATCACTGCAACGTGAAAGTTTTCTGCTTCACTTTGCCGCACACTTGTCCCCATTGCAATGCCCCACTGGACGCGGATGGGGATGCGGATAGGGATGCGGATACGAATGCGGATGCGGAACCAAATGCGGAACTAGACAGGAGCGGGCCACGCCTGCTCCCCTTCCGCCTGCCATATCCTTTTGTGCGGGCCACACAGTATCCATGCGCCATTGTCCTGCGTCCCTCCACCGGCGATTTCCTCAAGTGAGTATTGGCCAGAATGCCAGAATGGACTAAATGGAATTCCCGACCAGGCCGAAAGCATATTTGCTGCAGCTGGGGACATGCAAATCAACGAACAAATCAAACAAATGTTTTTATTAGTTTCAAACGTGTTTGAAATAAGAGTTTAGTACGGGCTAACATTTTGAGAGATGAAGCTTGGAGCTTTTAATTAATTTAATTTAATTAACTAAATACAATTTTTTAAAATTTATTTTGTTTGTTTTTTTGTCTTTGTCTTTGTTTACCAAAGTAACTAAAAACAAACTTAAGATTTATCAAATTTAATTTTAGGTCATATGCTTAACATACACTTAAATTTAAATTTCATTAAAAAAAGCTCGCAAATTTATAACCAAAATTTGACTGCACGTACAGTTATATTAAATTTAGAGAAATTCAAATTTCATAAACCGAAGTCAAGCAATTGAAGCAGACAATTCCGAGCGGCTTTCCTCAATTTATTCCAGAGCCCCGATTCTGGCTGGCTGATATTCATTCCAAACAAATTTGTGCAAATTTTATCCGCACTGTGTTTTTTTTTGGTTCTACCCGGGCTAGAAGTATCTTTTATGGCTGGAATATATTTTTGATGCGTTGTGTTGTTTCCGCAGCGATTACAGCAACGCCACCGATTTGCATATCGCAGTGACCACGTCCGGCGGCGACATCGTGGAGTTCGATCGGTTCGGCCTGCGCCGCCATCGGCGGGATGATAATCCGCCCGAGTGGCGGCAGTCGCTGATGGTGGGCGATGTGCCGGAGCCGTGGCACGACTTCTGGGACGAGGTCCTGCAGCAGGTGAGTGCAGAATCCGTAGCATAAAAGCTATAGGGTGGCTCGACTTAATGCACAAAGTACAAATGAATTCTAGGCACATCTGCAATACAATGCACAAAGTACAAATTAATTCTAGGCACATCTGCAATACAACATTTTGGTTATAGCTCTCTATTTTAACCACTGTTAATTTGCAAAAAATACCAGCCTTTAAGTAGACTTTTGGTTTAGTTGAGCCACCCTGCTGCAAATCAATGCAAATCCCTTAGCCTCTATCGGTCCCTTAACCATTTGCATTAATAGGTTTGCGCCCAAACGGCGCGGTGGTCCATCGCCAGTTACGCGGAGGAGAGCCACAACTGCTACGCCTTCGTCCTGGCCTTCCTGCAGGCCCTGGGCCACGCCCACTTGAGTGAGGCGGCCCGCAGCAAGACGGCCTTTTGTGAACAGTGCATCGTTCCCAGGACGACGACGGCGGGAAAGTATATCTCGCTGTATCGGAAAATTCGCAGGAGTGGAATCTACGTTCATCGCCAGCAGCCCAAAAATCGCAGTAAGCCGGCATCGGCAACTCCATCAAGTTCCTATTCCTCTGATGTCTGCAATGGTGTTGGCAGTAGCAACAGTAGCAAAAAGGTCTCAAAAAAAGGATACTCAAGCAGCAGTATTGCCGGAATCTCACCCCGCGCAAGACCCACACTCTGCACCATCGAAGAGTGATTAAATCGATAAGCAACACATTTCTAAAAATAATTATGTAAGAACTAAGCTCAATGTAGTGAAATTTAAAATTAATTGAACATAAATAAAATATAAAAACTGAGTATGTGTGTATATGTTGCTATTACTCTTTATTTGTTCTTTAAAAATTTAACGAAACAATGTTTTTGTTTTTCAATTTAATACATATAAAATTTAGTACAGTAAAAAATTGATATGCTTCGTTTGAATACCTTTTGAAACTATAAACTATAATTCGATATAAAAAGTTATTTTGTTTGTTTGAAAAATTCATTAGTTTCTTTGGTTTTTTTTTAAGTTATTGTCTTGTACTTTAAAGCTCGTATTTTCCTTTGGAATGATAGTTTGTTGTAAAGGTTTTTGTTTTGATAATTTGGCTCTTAAGCATTTAACATTTTTAATTTTTGTTTAGTTCTTTGGAATGTGTTAAGCTAAGATAGAATATATAATTATTGCCTTGGAGGATCTACGTTCTCCCTGTACATGTTGTTGTAGTTGCCAGGGGGATTGTAATTGCACACCACATAGATGGTATTTCCCCTAAAAAATAATATAAATAAAAATATACACTTTATTGTAATGCAGAGACTCAACCTTTTGGCAAATCCGACGCCCAACTCAGTGGAACTCTTCCAAACCAACTGAGTGAAGTGCCCTGTATTTCCCTGAAACGAAGGATTATTCCAATCGTAGTATCCAATCTCCTCGTACCAAGATCGAACTGCATCGGTGCCTTCTAAATTTCCCCCAGATGCCATATAGATATTCTCTCCATATCCGCTGTTCTGGCGATGCTCCAAGCGATTCATTGACAGCAAATACTGATTAAGTTAATAAATGTTTTAATGAAGAGTTTTGGGTTTTAGGAGAATCTTGATGATTTTACCTGGGCCCATTCGGAGGCCAACTGATTTAGCTTTGGGCTGAGACTTAAGGCTGGAGCACCATGCTTGGCCCGATATGTATTGTGGGCTTTAAGAACTTCTTGTTCAAACTGAAATAATATACATTTTTCAGTTGATAATTTTTAATAGATTTTTTATATATTATAAATCTAATTATTATTAAATTTTTAAATCTATAGGAAAGTAACAATATTTAACATATCTTATGGGATTATTAAAAACACAGCTTCATTTTACATTTTAAATTATTCAATTGATAATAAAACAATATTTTTTATGAACACTATGTTGCTGCATACTATGTAAACGTTTATTTTGATAAATTTAATAAAACATTAATTGTAATTTTAAAACACAGCAACATTTTTCAATTTCAAAATTAGTTTTTTCTTTGTTTTTTAATATTTTTTTATGTAATAAGAAGTCCCTAATTTTAATTTAATTTTTAATTGCATTTTTCATTACTTGTTCAACGCTCATTTTGCAATTTCAATATACACTATTTTACGCTTGGTCAGAATTCACGTATGTCGATTGTTAATCACGCCCGTTGAACTACTTATGTTTCGGTTAATTTAAATATTGAAGCACTAGCTCTGGCACTTGTCGGTGGAAACTAAAGTCGTCTGGGACTCAGCGGTGGCTTTTATGCGATCTGCCCGGATTTCCTTATCAGTTGATTTGCCGCCCCAACAACTGGACGAAGTTGGGAGAACAGTCGCAATTGTGTTGTTCCGACAAAGGCTGACTAATCTCTGGGCATGACGTACCTACAAAAATTGCGAACTGGAACAATTATTTCTAAAGGTCTTATGGGGTAAATATTGAAAGTGAGCTTAAATAGTGAGTGTGGATATGGAATCTGCAAATTTGTTATCAAAATAATTTTTTTTCTAACAAAAAATGTATAAATTTTTTAAAATTTCGTCATAACATATATTTTAAGTTAAAAGGATTTATGTATATACAATTTTTCGACTTTAAGAGATTCATCTGAAATATATGAGTTTTAGTAAATGTAATAGTGAAGCACTTACTTAATTTAATACTCATAAAATAAAATTAAATATAACACACAAATTTTGAATAAAACTATTTCATTTATTTTTGGAAATATCGTAGTTTTAAGCAGTTAAGATTTGTCTATAAGCTATTTTGATTAATTATTTGCATTTAAAGAGTTCCATCTAAAATGTATAGTAAGTTATAGCAACATTTTATGAGCACTGCCCAACCTTTCCATTATGGCTACCCCTTATAATTAAATTTCGTAAATAGATTTTAAATTAAAATAAATTTCGTATTTAAATATATTCAAAAGTTAATTTATGTATATAAGTTTAATAGTAATAGGCATTTAAATTATTGAAAGTAATAGAAGTCAATAGAAGTCAATTGAATGCCAACATTTTAGGAGCTCAACCCACATTTCCATTATGGTTACCCCTTATAATGTGATTTCTTGAATAGATTTTAAATGGAGTTTTCTTGACGGCTCATGGCGAACGAAGTCAGGACGCTGGAAACTGCTGCCTCGTCCAGAATCCATATTCCTGTCCCGGCTTTTGTGGCTGCCACTCGCGCCTGCTTCATTAATGAACGCAATATCTCAGACACAGGGGGCAATGACAGGAAATGGGGATGAAGATGAGGATGAGGATGAGGACATGAACGGGACTTTTGCTTATGCAAAACTGTCATGAATCGGGAAAATGTAATTACATTCTCGTTGATGACGTTGATGAGCAGCCACGGTTTCAGCCTCAACCTCAGTTCTGCTTCAGTCTCGGCCTCAGAGTCGACATTTCATCTTGGATAGAGCGCAATACGTGCATATAAATTGTATAATGTCGCCTCGACCAACTTTGGCGACACGTAATTTCGAAGCAAATAAGTTTTCCCCCATCTTCGGCTCAAAGTTTTGCTACCAGCTACCTTTCACCTGCGACCCACTTCCTCCTAATGCTTAATGTTTACTCGCCGGGGAGCTGGATCGGGTGTCATTATTGAATTCTACAGTTGAGGCGGCTCCTGCAGGAAATGACATGACACCGTTATTGAGTCAACTGCTCAAAATGATAATGAGTGGGTTAAAACTTGGTAATTCATACACACAGAAAAAATTGTAATTATTATTATAAGTCAAGTGAACCAAATTTACTTGTAAAGAGCATTTTATTTATTATTTAGCTACAAACAAAAAAAAAAATAAATAATACAGAATGTAAGCCCATTTAGTTTTTAAATTTTTTCGTTATTTTTAGTTTTATACAATTTTTTCGTCAGAGACCAACAATTTTGTTTTTTTTTGGAATTTAAATATAAAACAGAATTTTTCCCAAAAAACTTAACGATAGAACAATAGCATTTTTTCACGTCTTTTTCTCATTCATTAGTTTGAGTGGCATCAAATATTGGAAAATTAAATAACAAAAAAAATGTATTTGATACATTCCGACACGTTCTTCAGCTGTTTTGTTGACAGACATTGAGAGATAATGGCCACAATTGAAAGCCATATCCATTTCTATCTGCTTTGAGTCATAGTGGCACATGAAAGTAGGGCGCTTTTGGTTTGCGAAATTAACTTTATTACACTCAAGGCTTGATGGCCATGATCGCGGTGGGTGTGACTGGGTGGTATTTTCTGTGTGTAATTTTTATGCGCAACCACTCCCATGAGTCAAAAATAATTTCAAAACTTACTAACTGTGCTCTCAAGATATTAATTTTATAATCGCAGTATGTGTGACTGGGCTGCATTTCTATTTACGCTTTTTAGAACAAAAATTCACATGAGTCAAGCCCCTGCAGAATCGATTTTATAAACTGGCGCCATGCTGAGGGGCTCAGTTAGTCTGGGTTATGGTTGTTATCTAATTAAAATGTATAAATAGACTTTCAGCATAAGTGCGTTACACAAAACGTGCCGTACAAAACGGGTGGAAAATCAAAATCGGAAAAGAAAGACCTTCAGCGGCATTTAAAATGCATTTTTCTATGCACTTTCCACACATTCCCTCTGCAATTCGCTTGGCATTTTACAATTTGGCGAACTTTGTACCCAAAGAGTTTGACCAAGTGCCGAGCTGCAAGCTGGCAAACAGTTTAGACCCGGCGTCATGGCGATGATGTAGATGCCTTTCTATGGCTGCACCGAACCAATCTACTTCTTATTTACCCCACCCCCGTTTTCTTGCTCCATTTGACACGTTTCGAACGCCGTGGAAATGGTGGAAAGTGGGGGAAAATGGGGTAAAAGCATTGAAAATCTCAACTAATGTCAAATGCTTTGTTGTCGAAAATCCAGCTGGGAGAATGGAACAAAGCTGTGGGAATCGAAGGTTCCTCCGTTGACACTTTTAATTTAGTAGTGGGGTATTTATCAATCGCATGTATTAATAACAACCAATGCATCAGTGGCCCAAGATAAATGCATTTTCTTTGTGATTTATGCAGCAGATGTCCTGAATTTTCGGAGTAAACCCCTTTAGAACATCGCAAAGGGGATTATAAAATATGCAAATACTCTGCGCGATAAGCTTCAATACAAATACACAAAGCCTTGTCAAGTTCCCGAGTGCTCAAAGTCGAGTGACGTGCAAATATTTACAAACTGTCGACGATTTGCTTTGATTTTGATAATACCAACTAAGCGTAACGTAAACGAACAGAGATAACAACTGATTTCATTCACAAATACAAATTGGGTTGGGGTTCGGAAAACATTATGTTGAAAGATTAACCTTTTAATAATATCCTTATATAATTTGCTGATTATGAGCTTTTGAAGTACGATTATGATACTTTATGACTTTGGCTGACCTTAACCTTTGAACATATCTTATCGAGTTGAACAAATAATGCTTATCTGCTTTGCAACATTTTTTTTGGTGTGTCAAGAACATTGTTTTAAAAGGGCCTATATTATATTTTGACAAACAATTCTGAAGTATTAATTTGGTAATTTATTTGGTGTATGCCTATATTTTAAATTTTCGCAATTGCGAAATCAATATGCCCACTGAAAGCCGGAAATTGGTAGTGAAAATTCAGCCACACTTCAGTTTCCCGAGCCGTTTACTTTGCACTTGCCATCTCTTTCTATTTGAATCCTGCTCTCTCTTTCGTTCTCTGTTTCCGCTTCAGTTTCAACGCCGTGTCCTGTCCGAAAAGG